CGAGTCGACCTAGGCGAGGCCCACGACTGTGGCGGGCGGCGGGGTGAAGTTTCAGACCGTGGGAGCAGCAGAGAGAAGGAGCGCGACCCACCTTTTGGTAGCGTCATCCATATCGCAAGAACCACGGGACCGCTGTGTTATTGACGGCGACGTGGACACCACCTCTCTATGCGTACGGGCAGGGGGGGGGGGGGTCTTCATCCAGCAGCGGAGTGGTCAATTTGACCCCAGCATATGAGCCCAATGGCAAGGGGCGGTATAGTGACGCCTGGCGGACAGAGCGGGGTCATTGCACCCAATGGAAGCCGTGGCGTGGGGAAGCGAGCGAGGCGTTTGACGCGTGTGGGCAGGACGTGTCAATGTGAATGCGCCGTTAAACCCGGCCACCACCACCGGGACCTCAGCCGCTAATCGGCACGGGTTTGTCGCGTGACCAAAACGTGTCAATTCGTTGCTAGTTCGACACACCGGGTGTGTTGTAAAGTAAACCCACAATAGAGAACGACGTTTAGCTGGCGTATTACAACCAGCCCCATCGCCTGTATACATAGGGAAAAAAGTGCTTGATCCCCTGCTGATTTTGTACGTTTGCCCACTGACAAAGAAATGATCAGTATATAATTTTAATGGTAGGTTTATTTGAACAATGAGAGACAGAATAACAACAAAATCCAGAAAAACGCATGTCAAAAATGTTATAAATTGATTTGCATTTTAATGAGGGAAATAAGTATTTGATCCCTCTGTAAAACATGACTTAGTACTTGGTGACAAAACCCTTGTTGGCAATCACAAAGGTCAGACGTTTCTTGTAGTAGGCTGACGTTTGGCAACTCGAACCTTCAGCTCCCTCCACAGATTTTCTATGGGATTAAGGTCTGGAGACTGGCTAGGCCACTCCAGGACCTTAATGTGCTTCTTGAGCCACTCCTTTGTTGCCTTGGCCGTGTGTTTTGGGTCATTGTCATGCTGGAATACCCATCCACGACCCATTTTCAATGCCCTGGCTGAGGGAAGGAGGTTCTCACCCATGATTTGACGGTACATGGCCCCGACCATCGTCCCTTTGATGCGGTGAAGTTGTCCTGTCCCCTTAGCAGAAAAACACCCCCAAAGCATAATGTTTCCACCTCCATGTTTGACGGTGGGGATGGTGTTCTTGGGGTCATAGGCAGCATTCCTCCTCCTCCAAACACGGCGAGTTGAGTTGATGCCAAAGAGCTCCATTTTGGTCTCATCTGACCATAACACTTTCACCCAGTTGTCCTCTGAATCATTTAGATGTTCATTGGCAAACTTCGGACGGGCATGTATATGTGCTTTCTTGAGCAGGGGGACCTTGCGGGCGCTGCAGGATTTCAGTCCTTCACGGCGTAGTGTGTTACCAATTGTTTTCTTGGTGAATATGGTCCCAGCTGCCTTGAGATCATTGACAAGATCCTCCCGTGTAGTTCTGGGCTGATCCCTCACCGTTCTCATGATCATTGCAACTCCACAAGGTGAGATCTTGCATGGAGCCCCAGGCCGAGGGAGATTGACAGTTCTTTTGTGTTTCTTCCATTTGCGAATAATCGCACCAACTGTTGTCACCTTCTCACCAAGCTGCTTGGCAATGGTCTTGTAGCCCATTCCAGCCTTGTGTAGGTCTACAGTCTTGTCCCCGACATCTTTGGAGAGCTCTTTGGTCTTGGCCATGGTGGAGAGTTGGGAATCTGATTGTTTCTGTGGACAGGTGTCTTTTATACAGGTAACAAGCTGAGATTAGCACTCCCTTTAAGAGTGTGCTACTAATCTCAGCTCGTTACCTGTATAAAAGACACCTGGGAGCCAGAAATCTTTCCGATTGAGAGGGGGTCAAATACTTATTTCCCTCATTAAAATGCAAATCAATTTATAAATTTTTGACATGCGTTTTTCTGGATTTTTGTTGTTGTTATTCTGTCTCTCACTGTTCAAATAAACCTACCATTAAAATTATAGACTGATCATTTCTTTGTCAGTGGGCAAACGTACAAAATCAGCAGGGGATCAAATACTTTTTTCCCTCACTGTATATGTAAATGCTGTGGGTTTACTCCCCAACAAACTGGTGTGCTGAAAGTGTAACCAATTTGGCACGTTTTGTTTACGTGACAAACCTTACTCATTGGCTGCGGTCGGGTGGTGGTGCCGGGTTCAACGACACACTTTATATTAACGCGATCTAACCCAACACAATAAAAAAAACCTTCGTTACGGACTACGGAGGCGTTCACAACCACTCGCGGAGCGCGGCGGCTTCGACCGATGTCGCCCTGGGAAAAAGGTGCGGCGCCCCGAAGCCACGATAACAATGTCACTCGCAACGGGTCTCAGGAGTAGTTCTGCGATATCTGCTTCCCACCCCCAGGTCGTTCTCGGTCTCGCGCGGGGGGGAGGGGGCGGCGAGTGATGGCACGCAGATTTCAGAATTTTCCGTTTTCCTGCCGTGCCAAAAGCGTCTGTGCAGCAGCAGCGGCACGTGGCTCTGGGTGAAACGCAGCGGACTGCTGTGTGAATCTCGCCACAGTGGGGCTCCGCGGTGGCGAGATGTTAACTACCTCGCCTGGTGTACAGGAGGCTACGTGGGTTCGATCCCCGACGCCTGTTGTATATTTGGAGTTTGCGCGTTCTCACTGTGGCCGCGTGGAGGTTTCCCCGGGTCCTCTGGGTGTTTTACCTCCACATTTATAGTTGGCCATGTCCACGTGATGATAAGCCACTTCGTTGGGCTATCATTCGCGATAGCCAGGTCAAGTCAGAACAAGAGTTCCATAGCTCAGTGGGGGGCCTTACCTTATCCAATTTAAAGTTGATTAATTTAGAATGCAAGCTCACGTCTGCGACTTCTACTTCTATGGACCATACTCTCCCCGTCTGCCGCTCTCATGGGGGTTAAAAAACGGGGGGGGGGGGGGGGGGGTAACATTTTCAAATTGGGAAGAAAAAAAAATCTCGTGTCCAAACACGGAGCGAGCGAAAGAGCAGCGGGAGGGAAGGACGACCACGGGGAGAGCGGCGCGCGGTTCTCTTCGTTCTCTCCCCGCGATTCCGGGGTGCAGGCACGCCGGGACGCCGGGGAATCCGTGGCACCGGGACACTTGGAGACACCCGGACGCCGTGGGCACCGGGGCACCATGGCGCCGAGGTGCCGGGACGCCGTGGGCACCGAGGCGACAGATGCCGGCTCCCGCGCACCACACCGGCCACAAGGGCTGGGGGTCCCTGGACACCGATATGGCGCGCGCCATCGCGTTTGACATTTGCGATTTCCTTCGACTCCGCGACCGTACTTCGCCAGCCAGATGCCGGCGCACCCGGCGATTAGCGCCGGACCCCGGCGCTAGATAAAAACGGTGGCCTGCCACAACAAAAACACCGACGCAGAGCGAGGTCAGGAGACGACTGCCGGGAAGCCGCGTTTGGGAACGCAGTTTGTGTTCCTTTTGTCTTTGCGTGGGGGTTTTTTTTTCTGTTTAATAGCAACGTCAACGAACGAAAGCTTGACAGCGACGGAGCAACCGCTCCACTTAAAGAGACGAGGGGGATGGGGAGAGCCTAAGGCTGATGAACGTGGGGATAGGGAGGCACGGAGGGACAGGGAGAGAGTGGTGGCGGGGGAGGAGGAATGGCGTAAAGGGGGGGGGGGGGGCAAGCATGGGAGGAATTGGGGGGAGCCAGGGAGGGAGCCAGGGAGGGAGCCAGGGAGGGAGATGAGAGGAGTGGCGACCGCACACCGTGGGAGCGAGCGACCGCACACCTGCGTTTGCGACAGAGGCGAAGCGGCGGCTATGGGTGCGCAGCGCGGTTCCTTTCCGCGCGAACCCCCCCAAACCCCGCAGACCCCGCAGACCCCAGAGACTACACAAATCCCACAGACCCCACAGACCCCAGAGACCACACATACCACACAAATCCCACAGACCCCAGAGATTCTACAGACCCCAGATACCCCAGAGACCACACATACCACACAAATCCCACAGACCCTACAGACTGCACAAACCACGGCTGTGGTGGCGCTGCCGGTCGTCTCGCTCTGTGTAGATCCCATCACCGTCGCGGGTCCGGTGATGACAATGACGACAATGATAACAATGATAACGACCATGATAACGACCATGATAACGACCATGATAATGACGACGACGACGATGATTGTGTGCTCGCGAAGACGAGCATCGCCCAGCATCGAGTGTGTATAGTCACGTCGTGCTAGTGACTGAGCGAGTGAGTGACTGAGCGAGCGAGCAAGCGACTGAGAAAGCGAGTGACTAAGTGAGGAACCGAGACAGCGACTGAGCGAGTGACTGAGCGAGTGACTGAGTGACTGAGCGAGTGATTGACTGAGTGAGTGAGCGAGCGAGCGTGTCCCGACAACTGAAGAAGCGTGAAGCGATCGCGCCGAAATGCGCTCCTCCGTCGCGACCTTTCGCGACCTCCCGTGACCTGCCGCAACCTCGGAGAAACCGAACACGGCAGTTCGTCGAGAAAGGTAGCGGTCTGCTCCGCGCGAAGCAATGCCCTGGACGCTGTGCACGAGTGTCCACCTTCACCCTCTCCAGCACTGCGTCTTCTCAGTTACACAACTTTTTTTTGTAATAAATCGGACGGAACCTCTCTGGGGTTTCCGACAAAACAGCGTCCCCCGCTCCGCCCCTCCACTTCCCCCCTCCGCTCCCTCCCCCATCCCAAACACCGCCCCCCCCCCCACCCGACCCCTCTCCTTTAATCAGGGGTCACGGAAACTTCACGACGACGCCCCCACGGCCCCCCCTCCTCCTCCACCGCCGCCGCTCCCGCCGCCGCTCCCGCCGCCGCCGGCCGCCTTGGCTTTGTGTCCGGCGAGCGCGGGCGAGCGGGACGTGGGCGAGGAGGCCGAGGACGACGAGGAGGAGGACGACGACGACGACGAGGTCGGAGACGACGAAGACGACGAAGAGGAGGACGAGGACGAGGACGAGGGAGAAGTGGGCGCCGACCCCGGCTGCTTGCGATCCACCAGGCGTGCCGTGATGAGCGCCAGCGGCTGAGACGGCGGCGGCGCCGGCGGCGGCGGCGAGAGGGCGCCGGTGGCCGGAGCCGCGGCCGTGGCGGGAGACGCGTGGTCACGCGTCGTCGACTGGGGGCTCGTGCGGGGGGACGAGGGGGGGCCCACTCGGGGGGACGAGGGGGGGCCCACTCGGGGGGACGAGGGGGGGCCCACTCGGGGGGACGAGGGGGGGCCCACTCGGGGGGACGAGGGGGGGGCGACTCGGGGGGACGAGGGGGGGGCGACTCGGGGGGACGAGGGGGGGGCGACTCGGGGGGACGAGGGGGGGGCGGCACGGGGGTTCATCCGGGAGTCGCTCCCGGAGTTGCCCTCCTCTTCCTCGGCACCCCGCAGGCGATCGCAGCCGCTGCCGTGGTGGCTGTGTCGACGGCGCTGCTGCTGCTGCTGCTGCTGATGTTGGCGACGGTGCTGCTGCTGCTGCTGCTGCTGCTCAGCGCTCCGTCCGAGCTTCTGCCCGTTGGCTTTGCCGTTGCGGCGGGCGCTTCCCGTCGCCGCCTCCGACCCGTTGCGGTGAATAGCAGGGCGCTCGCCGCCGCCGCCGCCGCTGCTGCCCAACGAGCCATTTGATTGGCCGCTGGAGCACGGCTGCTGCTGCTGCTGCTGCTGCCGCTGCGATTGGCCGGTTTCGCGAGGAGCCAATCCCGACGCGTGGGGGGCCATCGCGTGGCTGAGCTTGAGCCTCTTGTAGCACGGGTGCACGCGGTAGCGCAGTGGCAGGGGCCCGCTCTGCTGGGATCGGGGAGCGTGGGGCGGGGGCGGGGGGGTGGACAATCCGGGGGGCGAGTCCGGACGGGAGACGTGAAACGAGTAAGTAAAATTCCCGCGACGGTCGAGCAACACAGCCCACATGGTGGACACTGGCGACGGTGCGGTTGGCTACGTACGGTGCGAAAGTAATTCGACGACAAGAAGAGCAACAGCCGCCATTCACCGCTAAGTGGCGGTGACGTCACCACGGCGCCTGTGCCAGGCTGGGTGCACGTGAAGGCCACACGCCCACTGGCAGTTCACCGGACAGACCCAGATGCCATGGGTTAACGGACCGAAATAACTGGTGGATCCACCACCTGTGCCCACTACATAATACATATTTACACATACAGAGAGGCTGCAGCTGCTGACTGTCATTGTTGAATAAAATGGTTGACAAATGCAATAACTTGGGCACGTGGTGATGGTGGCTGCCAATGATGGTTGATAATGGTTGAATATAAAGGTTGATGACCGTGTGTGTCGACCGTGTGTGTCGACCGTGTGTGTCGACCGTGTGTGTCGACCGTGGTGCATAAGCGCGGTGGTGGACCGTGGGCTGTAGGCGTACCCGTCGCCAGGCGTAGATGTAGGCGATGTCCATGAGGGTGTAGTAATCCTTGAGGCTCTCCTCCTCGTGCAGAACCTCAATCTGTGCAGGAGTGGAGGGATGGAAGCGGGGGGGGGGAAGACCTTAGGTGCTCACTAACAGCCCTCACCCAAACAGTCTGTTCAGGCCATAGGAGAATCTTTGCCCTTCCACGTGTGTATATGTAATCGCATATATGTATGCGTATGTACGTGCACGTATGCATGTGTATGTACGTATATGTACGTACGTACATATATGTACAGTGGTGAGCAGTGGTACAGCGTGCTGCGATACCGAACCCATCGATCCGAGTTCGGTTCCCGCTCACGGCCAACACCAGTGACCATTATCTGAACCGGTCCTGGGTCTCCCCTAGGTCGACTCAACCTCAAATGAGTACCTGGTTTCGGTGTGTAATCGCCGCTACTCAGGCGGCAGGGCGTGGTGTTGGCCACTCACCCCCTTTGTGTGCCGTGCCGGCCTTCGTAGGTCCTACTCGCTAACAGCACTTGCCCCAGCAGTCTGTCAAGGCTACACGGGGGATCCTTGTCTTGTGCGTGTAAAAGCGTTACTCGCCTGGTAGCTGTGTGGGATCTCCATTTTGTTTCGCAGGAACTTCTGCAGGTGCATAACCGTCATGGCTGCCGGGCAGCGCAGGTAGCGCTTGCGGAGTTCCTGCGCAGCGCAAACACACAAACAACACGTGACCACGCACACAGGTGCACATGTAGCACACGAGCAGCACGTCACTTGGATGACAGCTCGTGTGGCACGTGCGCAGCGTTTTGTGAATCTGCTGGATGGAGGCCTGCCGACACTTCGACCATACTTCACCGCACGCTGATCACGAGTTGGCGATCGTGGGTGGGGGAGGGTTTGCCGAGGAGCAGTGCTACGGATGTTACCTGTGGCCGTGGCTAGGAACGGAACTTCGAGCCACAGGGATAAACGTCACGGAACTTTAATTTTAAAAAGAACGAGTGCGACGACGTCACCTCTCCGTTTTGCTTCACTTCGCTTCTGCCCTTGTCGCTGTTGAGAGAATGAAAGGGAGAGAGAGGGAGGAAGAGAGAGGGAGGGAGGGAGGGATAGGACAGAGGGAGAGAGAAGGAGAACGGGGGAGAGAAACGAGTGTCAGCATCTTTTTAATTCTCGTTGTCCCATCTCTCTCTCACCGTTCCCGCTCTCCAACTCTGCGTCGCCGATTTCCCCGCGGGACGTGGACGGCTACGGCACACATTCCCGTGTCGCGTTGTGTTGCGTTCGACGAGTAGCTGGACGTTTGTGAATGTGTCCTATTGTGCCGTGTTGCTTGACGTTGTGAAAGCGTCGTATCGCGTCGATGGGTGTCACCGGACGCTGTGAATGTGTCGTTACCGCACTGTGTCACGTTGCCGTGTCGCGTAGCGTCGCTGGACATTATAAGTTGTATTGCGTCGTCCCGTAGTGTCTCACGTCGCTGGACGCTGCAAATGCGTCGTCGTTGTGTTGCGTACCTGGGCGGCCCCTCCGTGTACTCGATGGAGAGGCTGATGATCTCGTCGTCGGCGATGTTCTGCTTGTCCTCGTCCGCCACCTCGCCCCGCGCCTCGCTCGACTCCCCCGCCCCTTCTACGGGCACACAAAGACAAAGGATCCCCCCCCCGTGTAGCCTTAACAGACTGTTGGGGCAAGCGCTGTTAGCGAGCAGCACCTATGAAGGCCGGCACGGGACACGAGGGGGTGGGTGGCCAGCACCACGCCCGGCCGCCTTTGTCTCCCCAGTGGCGATGTTTAACACACCGCACACCAGGTACTCATTTGAGACTGGGTCGACCTAGAGGAGACCCAGGACCAGTTCAGATGATCGTCACCGGTGTTGGCCACGAGCGGGAATCGAACTTGGCTCGCCGGGATCGTAATGCAGTGTACTAACCGCTGCACTGCCGCTCCCCCACACACACACAAATATCCCCCTTACAGCCTTTACAAACACGTGCACACGTGCCCCCCCCCCCCCCGCACACTGTGGGTAGTTAGCGAGCGCCTATTAAGGCCGACACGGCGGTCGCCGGAGTGCGCAGGCAACGCTCGCGGATCGGAGCCACTCACCGTCTCCCTCCGGGTGCTCCGCGTAGAAGTCTCTCCGCCTCTTCATCTCATCTGTTGGTGCGCAAAATTACACGCGCACGTCAGACGTGACAGCAGTGTGTGCGCGTGTGTGTGCGTGTAGGGGAACGGTAGTGCAGCGGTCAGCGCGCTGCGCTACGAAAACCCGATACCCGCTCACAGCCACAAGTAACAGTGACGATCATCTGAATCAGCCCTGGGCCTCCCCCTAGGTCGACTCAGCCTCAATAAGCGGTGTAGAGTAAACATCGCCACTGGAGAGACAAAGGCAGCCGGGTGTTGTGCTAGCTACCCACCCCTTCGTGCCCCGTGCCAGCCTTAATAGGTGCTCGCTAACAGCACTTGCTCGCCAACAGCACTGTGAAGGCTATACGGGGGATCTTTGTTTTTGTCTTGTGGCCTCAAAATGCACATAGTGTACGTGTATGTCCAGCCCAACCACCGCATGCCCAAGCAGGTTCTGCCTGGCCGGAGAGAGGGGGCTAAACGGGGACGGCATGAGGTGGAGGACAGACGGAGCTGACGCGGTCCAGGAGCGGTGTAGGAGCTGAGTGGAATTGCCGATGACCGGTACCGGCGGTGTCAAGATCGGCTCGATCCCTGGCCCGGCCGCAATGTTGCTTATGTAATGTGTACTTATATACTTGTTATTTTTCCTATACTTTGCACGACTATCCGTTTTTTTTTTTTATGTTGTTTGTTGTTGAAACTTTCTGACCCGCCCCTACTGGACATCTGCGAGGAGAAAAAAAAAAAAAGAGCTTCATAGCTCATCGCATTTTTCCTCCAGTCTAAATAAAGATTCCGAATCTGTGTCGCTCTCTCTCCCGTCTCTCCCGTGGGCCTCGTCCCACCCCCCGACCCACCTCCCCCCACCTCCCCCCCACCATCAAGACTCCCGTCGTATTTTGCAAAATCGTCGCGAGTTGCGGTTGCGTCCAAGACGCCGCACGCGCTCAACGCAGCCGCCGCCATTGTTGTCGCCGTCGCTGCTGCTACTGCAGGCGTTACCTTTGAAGAGACCGGGCACCAACTTGTAAACGATGTCCTGCAGAGTCTTGTCGGACCTGGCCAGAGAGGAGCGAGGGTCGGCACGGAGAGAGATAGTGATGCGGCAAATCAAGGGAGGGCGCCAGCCAGCTGATGACAGCACGGCAACAGATTCTTGAACGTATCTGCAGAGTTAACGTCCCCCACTCCACCGTACAAATCCACTTCGGCACGCGGTGCGGTGCGGCCACTCCGGCTACGTCTCGTCGCTCCCCCGCGGTGCACACTCGCGGTGGTGCACTGCTCACCGGAGGTTGAGGAGTGGCCGGGTCTTGTGCACCTGGACATCGCACACCGGGCAGAACTTGCTGGACTCCAGGTAGCGCACGATGCACGTCTTGCAGACTGCACCACACGGAGAGAGGAAGGGGAGGTCAGGGGTCAAGTGTTAAAGGTTAAGAGAGACGGTTGCCATGGTTATATCTATGGGACCTTTCGTGACGGTATCAAAAATCAAAGCATGTTTGTTTGCATGTTTTACCACGCGTACGTGTGGTTAATGCAGACTTGATGCCTTGCAAAATGTATCCATTTGGTGTTTGAACATCTTAACACCTCTGTATTATTGCCAGAAAGGGTACAACCGGTTGCCCTGGTTACTGACAGTGTTTTGTCGTTGCCCCTCAAGTTTCTCAACAAAGACTTAAAATTGTTTAACAATTACTCGTTTGCTTATTTATCTTCACGAGACCACACCCCGAATGTAAGCGCCCGGCAGCTACTTCACTCGTCAGGTGCCGAGGAAGACAGAAAATAGGAGTTCGGGTTCAGGGCATTTAGGTTTATGGGATAAGGTTAGGGTTACGGTAAGGGTTAGTGTTAGGGAATGGGTTAGTGTTAGGGTCAGATTCTTGGTAGTTTCGGTAAAGTCACGTAGATAGAAAACAAAAATCGAAATTAAAAGCAAAAAACCCACGACGTTTCGATCGCAACACAAGCGGTCTTCACAAGCGGTCTTCTTCTGAAGAAGGCCGCTTGTGTTGCGGCCTTCTTCTGAAGAAGGCCACTTGTGTTACGGCCTTCTTCTGAAGAAGGCCGCTTGTGTTGCGATCGAAACGTCGTGGGTTTTTTGCTTTTAATTTAGATTTTAGTTTTCTATCTACGTGACTTTACCGAAAGAACCAAGAATCTGACCCTAACACTAAGAATATGAATTCCTGCAGTCACGAAAGTTTTAAGTCTGTTAGGGTCAGAGTTAGGGTCAGGGGGTCCAGGCTAGGGGATGGGGTTTTAGTCAGCATCAGAATTAGTCCACTGTGAATGGCTTTCACCAGGGCATCACCATTAGGATCAGGCTTAGTATCTGGATTAAGGTCAGGGTTAGTTGAGGTCAGGGTTAGGATAAGGCTTAGTATCTGGGTTAAGGGTCAGAGTTAGTTGAGGTCAGGGTTAGGATCAGGCTTAGTATCAGGGTTAAGGTCAGGGTTAGTTGAGGTCAGGGTGAGGATCAGGCTTAGTATCTGGGTTAAGGGTCAGGGTTAGTTGAGGTCAGGGTTAGGATCAGGCTTAGCATCAGTGTTAAGGTCAGGGTTAGTTGAGGTCATGGTAAGGATCAGGCTTAGTATCAGGGTTAAGGTCAGGGTTAGTTGAGGTCAGGGTTAGGATCAGGCTTAGTATCTGGGTTAAGGGTCAGGGTTAGTTGAGCTTCCGGTGCGTTGAAGTTAGGGTTAGTTAAGGTCAGGGTTAGCGTCAACGTTGGGAATTGACATAGAGGTCACAGTTTTGCTTCGCAATCGCCGAGGCGGTCAGCTGGCCCGTCACGTGACCTGGCCGGTTCGCGTCAGATCAAAGGCCGCCTTCCCGCTCCAGCTGACGAGCTACGGACCACGCTCGACACAAAACAACGTACGGCGTGGACGGCCGCTCGTGAGACTGTTACAGTGCACGCCATGCGCTGCTTTGCTATGTTCTTAAGAGATTACCCCCCCTGCACATATTTAAACAAAGTTTCGCTTATCCTTCATCGATCAAGTTCACCCGAACGTGGTTTACCAATGCAACCACATTTTCAATAGCGGCCACATTTCTGCACGAATGGAACACTTACAAAAGTAAAGATCCCCCATGTAGTCTACACAGACTGTCGGGGGCAAGAGCTGTAAGCGAGTAGCACCTACGAAGGTGGGCACGGCACACGAGGGGGCATTAAGGGCAGCGCCATGACCGTCCGCCTTTAACTCCCATGTGGCGATGTTTATTACGCACTGCACCAAGTATTCATTTGAGGCCGAGTCGACCTAGTGGAGGCCTAGGACAAGCTCAGATAGTCGTCGCCGCTGTTGGTCGTAAGCGGGAATCAAACTTGGGTCGCCGAGTTCGTAGCGCGGCGAGGTAACCGCTACACCACCGCTCCCCGACATCCGCATACATACGCAAGCACGCGCACACACGCATGCTCACATCAACGTATGCATACCCCAACAGTCTGTAAGGCTATACGGGGGAACTTTGTCTTTGTATGCGGGTGTCTACGTGGATGTGTGCGTGCTAGTGTAGGTACGTGGATGTGTGCGTGCTAGTGTAGGTACGTGGATGTGTGCGTGCTTGTGTGTGCATGAGGATGCGCGTGGGTGTGGTTGTGTCTGTACGTAGATGTGCGCGAGCGTGTGCATGTGGACGTGCGCGTGTACATGGATGTGTGCGTGCGTGTGTACGTGGATGTGCGTGTGTACGTGGATGTGCGTGTGTACGTGGATGTGCGTGTGTACGTGGATGTGCGTATGTACGTGGATGTGCGTATGTACGTGGATGTGCGTATGTACGTGAACGTGCGTATGTACGTGGACGTGCGTATGTACGTGGACGTGCGTGTGTACGTGGATGTGCGTATGTACGTGGATGTGCGTATGTACGTGGACGTGCGTATGTACGTGAATGTGCGTATGTACGTGGACGTGCGTATGTACGTGGACGTGCGTATGTACGTGGACGTGCGTATGTACGTGGACGTGCGTATGTACGTGGATGTGCGTATGTACGTGGATGTGCGTATGTACGTGGATGTGCGTGTGTACGTGGATGTGCGTGTGTACGTGGATGTGCGTATGTACGTGGATGTGCGTGTGTACGTGGATGTGCGTGTGTACGTGGATGTGCGTATGTACGTGGATGTGCGTATGTACGTGGACGTGCGTATGTACGTGGACGTGCGTATGTACGTGGATGTGCGTATGTACGTGGATGTGCGTATGTACGTGGATGTGCGTATGTACGTGGATGTGCGTGTGTACGTGGATGTGCGTGTGTACGTGGATGTGCGCAAGCGTTTACGTGGATGTGCGTGTGTACGTGCGCGTGTACGTGGATGCGTGTGTGCTTGTCTGCGTACGTGGACATGTGGGTGCGTGTGCATGCGCGCGTGAACGCGCGCGCGCGTGCGTACACGAGTGGAGGCACTCGGTGATGGAGGTGGCGTCGATGAAGTAGCCGCCGCACAGCACGCAGATGAGGTGCGGGTTCAGCTCCGTCATCCTGATGTGCGTCGTGCGATGCATGCTGCCGCGACACGCCACACTCTCCGCCGCCGCCGCCGCCGCCGCCGCCGCTCGCCACGCCACCCCGTCTCGTCCTGCGCCGGGGACAAAGGGAAACGAGACCGGTTCGATCGTCGCGCGACAAACACGTCTCGTAGGGCGGTGTAGCCAGTGTGGCGACCCTTGCTCCTCGCTGCAAGAAGTCGCGCGTGGGGGTTTGATTCCCGACTGGGGGTGCCTTTCTGCGTGGAGTTTGTACGCTCTCCCCCGTTCTCGATGGGTTTCCTCACGTTGCTGCCCGTATTTAACTGTAACTGGTATTGGCCAAATCATCCCAATGATGAAAAAGGTTACCCACAAACGACACAACTGGGATGACAGAGACAGGAGCGGCATCGTCCGGCGACTGTCGAGACTTAACAGGACCCTCCAAAATAAAAATAGTCCTGAAGCTCAGGGAGGCTTTCCTGGATAAACAAGCGAAATCGCTACAAATAACAAAATCAATAAAAAAATTTAAATTTTATTTTACCAGGTAAGGCCCACTCAGCTATGTAGCTCTTTTTCATAAGCGCCCTGGCCACAAATGATAGCTCAATAAAGTGCGTTATCATGTGGAATTGTTTTTAGTAGCCATATACTCTGAATGCGTGGTGTTGATTCTAAATGTGTATATGGTGACGGTGAGAGGGAGACGGTGAGAGGGTGACGGTGAGAGGGTGACGGTGAGAGGGTGACAGTGAGAGGGTGACGGTGAGAGGGTGACGGTGAGAGGGAGACGGTGAGAGGGTGATGGTGAGAGGGAGATTATGAGAGGGTGACGGTGAGAGGGTGACTGTGAGAGGGTGATGGTGAGAGGGTGATGGTGAGAGGGTGACGGTGAGAGGGTGACGGTGAGAGGGAGATGAGAGGGTGAGAGGGTGACGGTGAGAGGGTGACGATGAGAGGGAGATGATGAGAGGGTGATGGTGAGAGGGTGATGGTGATGAGATGGGAGTGTGGAGTGGGGGCGAAGCGAGCGCCAGTGAGATGCACAAAGCAGCGTCTGTTTTCAAAGGGGGTGGATAAAGGGGCGGAGTTCAGAGTGGGGGTGGCAACAGGTAAATCACGTGATTTAACGGAGGCTTGAGCTGATTTAGACATAGACACTATTTCCGATGTTATTGCTTTCAAAACAAGTATGTTCTTGATCGATCATCCCACCGAGGAGTTTTCCTACTTATCGATAACACTTCCAGGTTTTATTTATCTGACATTGCAATGCACGCACGAGGCAGCTCGGACAGGTGTGAGCGCGTGGAATTGTCGAGAAGATATTGAGTCGCGCGGAGAACGTGCAAGTTAAGAGCATCATCACATCGACCGTGACACGATACAGATGGTGATAATGGTGATGGTGATACTCAACATTGTGTCATCCGGTGGTCGAGACTAAAAGTGAACTGGCAATCCAAGGAGGGAGCGTGCCCAAGAGAGAGAAATGAAATCTACCGCCACCGTGAAGACGCAGCGATGTGATCGGCACACGGTGCAGTCCCCGCTCGAAGGTGATCGTCATCCAGCAGCGGAATATTATTTCCACACGATATCAAATGTAATTATTGCGTTCTTAATGGGAGCTCTCTGTCTCTCTCGGCGAGACATTATCGGGACGAGTGGATTAATTCCCGATTATGATTGAACGTCTCACTGTGACCCGAGACGGAGCGGAGGAGGATATAATTACGAATTAATCACCGATCAATAATTGTCAATCGAGGGTGGAATAGTTATCGAGTAGTCGCCGCCCAACTCGGCCACCTGGGCATCTCCCAGAGTGGACTCGGCCTCGAACGAATGCCTGGCGCGTGGTTCTGTTCGCACCACCACCCCCAGTACAGTGACTGCCTACACACAGAGACAGATGTGGCGATGTTATCAGACCGTAGGGGGCAAGGCGCTGTGAGCGAGCGGCACCTTGAGAAGGGCGACACTGTTGGCACACGAAGGGCTGGGTGGCCAGCACCACGCCCGGCCGCCTTTGTCTCCCCAGTGGCGATGGTGTTTAACACCACCGCACCAGGTACTCGTTTCGAGGCCGAGTCGACCTAGGGGAGGTCCAGGACCGGTTCGGATATCGGCCACCGATGCGGGTCGCGAGCGCGAATCGGCCTCAGGCCGCCGGGATCGTAGCGCAGTGCGCTAACCACTGCGCCACCGCTCCCCGTATACATTACGGCACACAGACACGCGTGGACACGTAAACACGCCGCGGGCGAGCAGTCACGTACTGTACACACAAAGGCACAGATCCCCCGTGTAGCCTCGAATACACTTCGGGGGCAAGTGCTGTTCGCGAGCGCCGATATGCGGCGTGCGGCACGGGGTGGTAAAAGAACCAGGCACATCAACAAAGATGCCCCGCACAGCATCGGCAGACTGTTGGGGCAAGTGCTGCTCGCGAGCATCCCTTGAAGGCGGTGACCAACAACCACGCCCGGGCCGCCTTTGTCTCCCTCGCGAACGATGTTTTACCACGCACCGCAGCCGGTGGTCGTTTGAGGGCCGAGTCGACCTAGGGGAGGAGGTTCCACGGGACCGGCTTCAGGTAACAACAATAATAATAATAGTCGTCGTCGTGCCGTGAGCGGGAATCGAACTCGGCTCGCCGTGTCCCGGGCGGGCGGCAGTGCCGAGGCGATCCGACACGAGGCCTCGCTCGCTCGCTCGCTACGCCTCGAGACCCCAGTCGCTCCTCTCTCTCCTCTCTCTCTCATCTCTCCTCTCTCTCCACGTAGAATCTCTCTCCTCTCTCTCTCCACGTAGAATCTCTCTCCCCCAGGTGTCTCTCCCCCCGCCCGTCCGCTTCTCCCTGTTGTGCCCCCACCAGCCGCGTCTCTTACCGCCAGACAACGCGGAACGAACCCGGAGTGCCAGCCGCCGTCGTGTCTCGTATCTTCGGGTCAGACTCTCTCCTCCGTCTCTCTTCTCTCTCCTCCGTCTCTCTCCTCTCTCTCTCTCGTGTCTCCGCGTGGCGTCCGTGTGTCCCTCACACGAGACTTCGCATCTAACACACACGCTGCGCCTACATCACACACACGCGCGTGCGTACTGTATAGACTGCAGTACACACACACGTGCGTGTGTCTAGTGTGGGCTATAGTACACACACGCACGCGTGTGTGTACTGTGTAGACTATAGTACACACACGTAGTACACACGCACACACGTGTGTACTACAGTGTAAACTATAGTAAACACGTGCGTGTACTGTGTAGACTACAGTAGACTATAGTACACACGCGTGCGTACTGTGTGGACTGTAGTCTCGCCGTGCGTGTGTGGATCCGAGTCCTGCCGACTCTCCTCTAACCCCCTCCCCCATCTCCTCTCCCTCTCTCTCTTCACACTCTCCCGCCCACCGCACTCTCCCTCCTCCCTTCATTCCCACCCCATCTCCCGTCTCCTCCTCTCCCTCCCACCCACACGACTCGCCCTTCCTCCCGCTTCCACTTTCCCTTCCTCTCCATCCCCCTCTCCCTCTCCATCTCCCTCCCCCTCACATCCACTACCTCGCTCTCCCCTTCCCCCTCTTCCGCCTCCCCCCACCTCTCCACTCTCCCACACCTCCCTTATCGCTCCCTCCCCCTTCTCTCTTATCTCCCTCCTCGCCCTCCCTCCCTCTCTCTCCCCTTCCCCCCTCTCCCTCCCTCTCTCTGCCTCGCCGTCTCTCGCCCTCCCCTTCCCCCCTCTTCCTCTGCCTCTCCCTCCCCTTCCCCCCTCTGCCTCTCTCTCCCTCTGCCTCTCCCGCCCTCTCTCTCCCTCTCTCTCCCTCGCCGTCTCCCTCCCCTCTCCCTCCCTCTCGGCTGCCAAAACCTCCGCGCGCTCCTCTCCCCGTCTCCTTGGCAACAGCAATTATAGCTGGCTCGCCTCCAGTGGGGAGAGCGGCGTGGGGAGAGCGGCGTGGGGAGAGAGCGAGGGGAGAGCGAGGGGGGAGAGAGCGAGGGGAGAGCGGCGGGGAGAGAGCGTAGGGAGAGCGCGGCGTGGGGAGAGCGAGGGGGGAGAGAGCGAGGGGGGGAGATCGAGGGGAGTGCGAGGAGAGAGCGGCGTGGGGAGAGCGAGGGGGGGAGAGTGCGAGGGGAGAGCGGCGTGGGGAGAGCGGCGTGGGGAGAGCGAGGGGGGGAGAGAGCGAGGGGGGGAGAGAGCGAGGGGGGGAGAGAGCGAGGGGAGAGCGGCGTGGGGAGGGCGGCGTGGGGAGAGCGAGGGGGGAGAGCGAGGGGAGAGCGGCGGGGAGAGAGCGAGGGGGGAGAGCGAGGGGGGAGAGCGAGGGGAGAGCGGCGTGGGGAGAGCGGCGGGGAGAGCGCGAGGGGGGAGAGCGGCGTGGGGAGAGCGAGGGGGGGGGCTCTGTGCTGGTCCTGGGGCTCACGCTTTTAGTTGGGGTTAAGATTGGGTGAGGAGTGGATTAGGACTGGGTTAGAAATAGGACTGCGTTAGGGTTCGGACTGAGTTATGGTTAGAAATAGAACTGCGTTAGGGTTAGGACTGCGTTAGGGTTAGGACTGGGTTAGAATTAGAGCTGGGTTAGGACTGGGTTCTATGTAGGGCTGGGTTAGGGTTAGGACTGGGTTAGGGCTGGGTTAGGACTGGGTTAGGGTTAGGGCTGGGTTAGGGTCCGGTTTAGTGTTGGGTTGAGTCAGCTCTGTGACTTCTCACTATCGCTGCAATTACTGCTACAGTAGCAATGCTGATACGACCACTGTATGTTTTTTGCACACATATACATTTGCATTTATGTAAATATAGGTCAATATTTTATAAGACGAGGCTGCAGTAATCATATACTGTACAGTCAAATAATTTAATCGCTTGTGGAAATGCAATTGTTAGCATATTAGTGGCGAAACAGTCATCATTCGTAACCCATTTAATACTTGCAGCAATAACAGTGCGGTGTAGTTGCAATAGTAATAATTGTAGTAAGCAACTGTAGCTGCTAATTGTACGGTGCGAAAGAAGTTCAACAAACATGAAGTGCCGGCAAGGCACACGCGGTGGGGGGGGGGGGGGCAAAATTACGCCCGGCCGCCTTTGTCTCCCTCGCAGCGATGTTTACCACATTGCACCAGGCACTCATTTGACGCTGAGTCGATCTAGGGGTAACCCAGAACCGGTTCAGATATTCGCAGTCACTGTGATCATTGGTCTCGAGCTGGAATGTAACTCGTTTCTCCAGAGTGCGCTCACCGCTTGCACGACCGCTTCACACACGTGTGATGTGTGCGTGTACACACGCACACATCACACGTGTGATGTGTGCGTGTACACACGCGCACACACACACGTGTGATGTGTGCGTGTACACACGCGCACACACACGTGTGATGTGTGCGTGTACACACGCGCACACACACGTGTGATGTGTGCGTGTACACACGCGCACACACACGTGTGATGTGTGCGTGTACACACGCGCACACACACGTGTGTCTGCGCGTGTACATACACGCGCAGACACACGTGTGATGTGTGCGTGTACATACACGCGCAGACACACGTGTGATGTGTGCGTGTACACACGCGCACACGTGTGGTCTGTGTGTGTGCGCACGTGTGTTGTGTGTGTACACACGCGCACACGTGTGGTGTGTGTGTGTGTGCGCGCGCGTGTGTATGTTTACACACGCGCGCGCACACACATTCAACCATGCAGTGTTGTCGTTGTTGCAGTAGTGTGTTGTTAGCGAGCACCTATTATGCTTGGTCCACCCCAGTGAGAGAGAAGCCCAATGCACCACCGTCCTATTATCGCCGTGCTTGGGACTCGAACCCAGGTTTCACAGCGCGGAGCGTCAAAGGGACCAACCGTGCCAAGCGACACCCCCCCTCTCCCACGCACGAAATTCACAATCTCACAAAGACAAAGATCCCCCGCGTAGCCTCGCCGACCTGTTTGGGCAAGGAATGCGAGCACGCGCCCAGAGAAGGCCGAGACGGCACACGAGCGTCATGGGGTTTGGTCGTGGCCGAACAAAACAAAAAAAACGTGCCAGCCGCCTTTCTCTCCCCCAGTACTCACGGTAACACACCACACAAGAGACTTATTTAAGGCTGAGCTGACCTAGCGGCGAGGCCCTGTGCATGTTTATATTCCAATCGCCACCGTTGTTGGCCGACGTCGGAATGCGATCTTGGTTTGGGTCTCCGCGTTCGGAACGCAGCGCGCAGACAACTGCGCCACCGCTCCCGACACGCACAAAGACAAAGATCCCCGCGTACAGCCTCGACAGACTTTCGGGGCAAGTGCTGTAAGCGAGCATCTGTGAAGCCCGGCACGACACGCGAGAGGGGAGGGGGGAGGTGGGTGGGCAGCAACACGCCCGACCGCCTTTGTCTCCCGATTGTAGGGTTTTTACGCACCGCACCAGGTACTCGTACGTACAGATATATATACTGTACACATCCCACACACGTACGATCATCGCGTCTTAACGCACAAAGAAGCACAGACGAACACATCCCACTACAGTCTATCTGGACTGTTGGAGGTTAGTGTCGTTCGTGAATAGCTGTGAAAGGCCGGTGACGGCGCACCTAACACGAGGTGGGGTGGTGTGGGCAGCGCTATCCCAGCCGCCTTTGTCTCTCGCGGTGCCCATACGCAGCAGTAACACGCATGCTACTACGCTCGCGTTAACGCAAGCGCGCGCGACCGTGTCTTTTTAATCCGTGTCGACTGTCGAGAGGACGTGGCGTGAGTTAGCTTCCGCTATATTTTTTCGAATTGTATTTGAACGCAGAACACGGCTATGCCGTGTCCTGCGAAGAAGGAATTATGTGGCCCATGGTCAAGAATAATAACGGAATAGCAGCCAAGCAAACGGAGGGCGTCGAAGCATTTCGTACGTTCAGCATACGCCTAACAACCCCTTTGTCATTCCACTGCTGGATGAAGACGCACGCGCTGCCATGGCGGTCATCGCAGCTATGCACGTCCATACTTCACCACGGTGGCCAATGCGGGTTTGGGAAGGCAGTGAGTGTGGTTAGGGGTTGAGGGCGGAGTGGGCAGGGAGCCAAACCCGTTTCAGATATCACTTGCCACGGATGTCAGCCGTGGCCTGGAGTTGAACTCAGGAGCGCCACCACGTTTATCTCACGGCGCGTGGACCACACCACCACGATAGATAGACACACACACGCACACACGGGGCTGCGGAAAGATTCATTATGCTGCATATACATCGGTGGAAACTGGCGTGCCCGGCTATATTTGAGAGAGAGAAAAAAACGGGCCCGAATGAGTGGAAAATCACGTCCATTTAGACCGAATGTTTCCGCCAAACGTCAAGCAAGGCGGTTGAGATACACCGATCGTGCCGCGCGTGTCTCTTAGCCGCGACTCTGCGGCTTCAACACAGCCTAGGAGTGGGAGGGGGGCGGCAAACGGACGGGCTATTGCAGGGGCTGCGCCTCTGCCTCTTAACTTCGGCTTTAAATACACGGGCGGCAGCTGACGGCGGCCACGTGTTTCTGTACCACATCTAACACTTGGCGACTATGCCGGATATTTATCGCTGCACGCGAGTTTGCTTCGCGGGCACGGCCACGACTCACATCAGTGGCGAATTATTTCCGAACCGGTTCTGTGCCTGGGGCTCCCACCGCCCTGCCCCCACCACCCCACACCCTCACTGAGCAGCGACCTGGAACAGCGACTTCGATTCCCGCCCGCGACTTAAACACGGGTGGCGAGTTATAATTTGAACAAGCGTGAAGTATGGTCAAACACTCCCTCTCCCCCCCCCCACACCACCACCTCCGCCGTGACCGACGCGGCGTGCTTTAGGCCTTCGTCAAGCAGTGGACCGTATGTACGCAAGCCTGCTAGGTAATAACACTGCCTTAACAGATACATAATAAACGCCGTCTGTATATGTAATATATCTTTCCCCCATTTCAGGCAACCGTGTGATTGAGTTGTTGTTTGTGCTTGTGTACCAATGGCAACTCAACAGCAGCATCGTCGTCGTCGTCGTCAACAGCTAATGTGGATAACGAACACGGACATTGACGAAGAACATCGAACGGAGGTTGAAAAGTGTGCAGAGACGAATGGGAGAGGTACATGCCGGAACCACACCGACAGAGACCACGCCAATATGATACATCACGTTCACCATTTGAACTGTTCAGCAAAAGTACCGTAACCATGCTTGGGCAGGACGCGGTAATGGTTCGAAGGGGGAATGATGATGATGATGATGACTACGACGATGCTGATGACAGGCGATGGATAAGACCGGTTACAGATTGGCAGCCTGGGGGAAAGAAGAGAAGGCGCCCGAGAGCACGACCGCCACGGAGATGGAGCGAGGATGTCGGCGCGCGT